GTGAAAATGAATGATGTCCTTTCTTCCTGATCGCGTGTAAGTATTTAAGATTTAGACGTGTGTTTGCGTGGATCCGTACGGCTTAAGAGTCAGGTGCCGATTCTGCGCTAATCTGCTCCGAGTTTTCTTATGCAAAGTCGGATGCTCCGTTATTCAATTCTAAAATAAACTTTCCCCCAGGCTACAGTTGAGAGCAGTCACGCTGCACAGATCACGATCAACTTGTCAGCGATGCGTATCGTAACTCAAATGAGGATGGTTCTCAGCCCGCATATGCCTTGAAGTTACTTTAAGTTGGAAACAGTTATCAATTCTGTGTCAAGAATATAATGGGGTTTCATTTTGAGTAGGAAGTTAATCGTTTGATATAAAAGAAGACTCTCGAATTATTAACGACTCGCTTCAGCAGTCGTTTTGTAACGCCGAATGCTCCAGAAGGTTGTGTAAACTTCGAAACACCTTCGCAGCCTCCGATTGGTTCCGAAAATAGTGCGACGTTCTATCTTCGGACTCCGATTACAATAACGATCTTTCGCGAAATGCTCGGTTGATCTCGGAGAAAGGGTTATTGCGAAACAGGGACACGAACATGCTGATCGGCTGCGTGAAGCCTTTATTAGAGAACAGCATAAATAAAAGAAATTGTTCTATTTTTGTGCTATATATATGTTGCAAGGTTTATCGGTGTTTTCGATGTTCTATTTACATAGTTGCAAAAAACAGAACGCATTGAACTTTTATCCGCACAGGGAAATTTGAAAATCGAAATGTTGCCTTGAAGGCTCGTGAAAGTTTTGTTAAGTGAAGCAAAACGTAAGTACACAATACGCATAATGTGACAGGAAAGATCACATTTTTACAGGGACATGATAAGTAATATTCCGTATCGGTTTACGTCAAAATTCATAACCAAAATACAGGTTTCTTATGCAATGATCATCGTAGTAACCTGGAGGGTCACTGTTCTAGTCGAGTGGTTTCGTTCAGATCTTTCACGTAGCAGTTTGGATAGCGTGACTTCAACTTCCGATTTTGCCATTCAATTTTTTATTGGCTTCAAGAAAGTTAGCGGACCGAATCAGAGTGTTCTCCGTCGGCCCACGTAATTTATAGATTGTTAAGATGTTGTTTTGAAATCGAACGCCGAACCCACACATTGAAAGTAGTGGATAAAATTAGCGTTGATGTTACTTTAGGCTTTAAGAGGCTCCGTTGAGCGTTAAATATTAATGAGCTGACGGCAGCCGTGACGCAACAAAGACTATGCTTCTAAATTTTGCCGATTGGATACCACCCACCAGTTTAAGATTTCATTATAAAGCTTCCATTCTCCAGTAAAAGTCAAAGTTGTGCAGGTGAAATTAAAAAAAATAATAAAAACAAAACAAAAGTTTCGCTTGAATCGAGAATACTTATAACAGAGAATTCTGCATGGTGGCCTCAGAAACTGCTTTGTACTGTGTTATATTGCTTAAAATGCTTTGTGGATATTAGAACTTCCTCAAATCATCTGAAACTCTATGTGTATTGCGAAACCTATACATTTATGGTTCTAAGCCTCAACGAGACAGAATAATTCTGTTCGAATACATTTCGTGACTCGCTGTGTCAGTTGAGCCGAGCTTTAATTACCGTGTCTATAAATCAAGCTCGTCGTAAAAGCTGTGTTTAAAAGTGACATCATGTTAGTTTTTTTCTCCTTTTTCCGCTTTATGTAGAAATTTGGCAAACTGTAACAAAATAAGGCAAGCAAGTTAATTGTCGATCGTCTAACTTGAACCCGTTTTGGTGGATTTCTAACAAACATATTGAGTAGTCGCTAATATTTTAATCGCACTGATCTTACTCTCTATTTTGACCTATTGTTTTGTGGACTGAATTATTTTTCTTTTGCCCAAATGGAATAAACGTTTGTTGAAGCATCTCATATAACACTCAATGAAAACATACCACTATTTGATCAAATAGGCCCAGAACAAAAGTAAAATAAAATCACAGTGAATGTTGTCAGAGATGGAAGTTATACAGCACCCTGAGTTCGTCTCTTAAGAGCAAGTAATTTCGTGCCCTTTGAGAACCCTAGTATTTAAGAAGCCTTCCCATCTTTGTTTTCCATCTATTACGATACTTTTCTACAAGAATTGAGTGTCTAAATCGTTTATTCGTTAATCCTTTGTTTTGTGAACAAATTCAATCGCGTGTGCAATGTGCAGATATAATACTTTTCTCAAGACTTAAAAAATGTTGCTTACACTCCAGGAGAGAATTGAAAAACTTGAATTACATTTGACACTGGTTATTGACCAGTATCCATGATGTTGACAGAATTCCAATCGGGTTTCAACAGCATCAAGCCATGTTAATTTTGTTCTTTAGAGGCTCCTTTTAAATGGACGTTTTTTTTTTAGTAAATCCTGACCAAGGGTTTTGCTGAGGTAAACAAAAGATGGTCGATCTGTGCTTTGTTTGTACTAAACTTAGCAGGTTTGCCTAAATATTTTCTCTTTGAAAGATTAGCCAACGTACGGGCTGCTTCAGGTGAAGGTGTAAGATTGAAAGGCTGTCAAGGTATTTTCAACTTCTAACGGCTAAATTAAGATTGTCTTTACGCTTCAGAGTACAAACTAGCGAAATAATTCCTTGCAACCCACCTCCTTAGCCGCCTACCAATATGTGATATTTGTGCAATATGTTTTGATATAGGCACCATAGAAATATTATGTCCATTGCACCATGTCTATGTATATATGTCAAATAACACGTCACATTATACTGTGTTCGTATTTTATTTGTATTTTGCTCTCGCACACTAGGAGAACTAACTAAAATTGACCACTTTTGTGGGCGAGACTACGATTATTTAATCTTGAAGCAATAAGCAGCTGATTTGGATCCACTGAGTATTATTGAGAGCGATTACATATTTGAAAACTTTGATTCTGGGTTCAGTATCGTATTTTGTGTTGCTGTGAAGCTCTGATTATATGTCAACTATGCCTTTTACAACTTTTTTGAACCGAGCTTTTAACTGCATTCTTTGGGAATGGAAACATGTACGAGGAGTACATGAAGAGCATTCAGTTTACGATACTAAACGAGAGAATGAAATTTTCACTTTTTAAGAGGTGTTTTATGAAAGAAAAGGAATCAGCATGTTGACATGGCTACCAAAACAGTCTACAAGAAAATGGTGCTTTTGAAAGAGACATCAAAGTCGTTATTGAGGTGTCCCGCAATAACAAACTGCGTGTAGGAGCTCGGCAAACGGGTAAATTTTCATAAAAGAGGCACAACCTAACTTTGGAGGTCATCAAATTTATCCTGAAACAGTTTCGAAACATCAGTCATTGATAAGACACGCTAGAATCAACAACAGTCATCAAGTTATTGTTTATCTAAATACAACGATTTCGAAGGGTTTTGTCGATTGTAGAAAATTGTAGCTCTCCCTTTGATTTTCCTTGCAAGGTATGGGATTAGCTTTCCTGTATTTTTTTTCGTTTTGAGAATTGGGCTTAAACGTTTCTTTGGTTCTTTTGTATAAGGCGTGCGAATCCGTTCCTTCGGGGCAGTAGCATGCATTCCACTACTGAAACGAACTAATCGTTTCTCTTGCCTGTTGCGTTGAGGTTTTGTAGTTAAATTTAAGAACACGTTACTTACAAATTTATCGTCACTTCAGAGCTTTTGAGCTTTAGCTGGATAGTTCGGTGAATATTTTTATCTTTGAAATTTCTAGGTAGAGGTTTTGATGGTCAACACATTCAATGAAGCCACTGTGTGCATTGTTCTTGAGAAAATAGCTCTGCAACCACACAAGCGATGGTTATAAGTCTGCTTGTTTTCTTTGAAACCAATGGTTCCTCGCCATTCAGTGTAGAAATTTCTAAATTTTTGTCTCTGATTGGTAAGTAAACAATTTGTGTAAATACGTGATATGAGTCTCAAATCTTTTAATTTCATGGAGCAGATTGTAAAATTGCCATAATTTATTCTGTCATATTGATCATCTTGATTTGGTTGACTTTGCCCAATATTCTCAGGCAAATGAATGTTAATGAATGTTTCGTTTCAACAGCTTTTGAAATCATTAGTATGACATGTTCAGACAAAACGTGCATACTGATAGTTTTGTTTGGAAACAGAGCATGGATGATTTAGGCTGTAAAATTGCTGGATCTCAACCAATCATAACGCTTACAACTTGAGATAATGTTTTTTAAGATTTTGAAAGTATTGCTACATCTTTGTTAAGTATCAATTTTGATAAAACTGTAGCTGTTGTTGAATATGTTGCCAATGTGTAGTTATTACAATTCTATGTTGCGCAATTTACTAGAGTTTTGTTTTAAAATTCCCTTCAGATGATGTGAAACATTGGATCAAACCAAAATAACCTTGTATTAGTTATCAAATAATTAAGGCTCAGGCTCTGACATGTCGTTCAATATTCAGTTCAACAATAATGATCATAAGCAAAACACCGTTTTGATTAGTTTGATGAAGTATTCACTAAGTCTAACAAAGGTAAATCACGTTCATCCATTTTGGAGTCTTTGCTCATTAAAGTAGGCGATTTCTCTTGTCAATTAAAGCTGGTATCCAGTAGTTGACAGGTAGCCTGTGTTATTGGTCATTCAGTGGGTAGGTGGCGATATTCAGTAGAGAATTTAACCTGGTTAACCCGCTTATAGTAAGTAAAAGGGAGAAAAGTCTGAAGCGGCTGTTAGAGAATTAGAATTAATTTTATAGCCAAGAAACTGCAGCCGGTGCACCCATTTTATCGTGCTCAACATTTATGAATATTTGATACTTGCAGATGCTCATTCTTGCTAACATGACCATGTGATCTTTCATTCTCATTTTTTATGTAAAAGCATGTCAGCTTACTCGCTACTCAGGAGTTACCAACTTTCCACACTGAATGTTAACAGAGTGCAAAAAGGAAAAAAAATGAAAATGGACCAGGACCCAATCTAAGAATTACGACATGTAAGGAAATTTTTGATCCACTTGAGAACAAACATAGTTTGTTTCTTTTCCTTATTCGTCTCAGAGTGATAGTGCAGAGTGGGGTTTGTGGAAATTTATTTATTATACCAGCCCGATCACATTTGGCTACCCCTGATGATCATCAAGTGTCTCTCAAAAGGTAAAAACATCTTTGCTTTTCGTAATCAAATCTAGAGCTCTCTACCACGGTGGTGACGTGCTCTTTCAAAAAGATGTGCATGGTTTTTTAGTTTCGGTACAACTACTACAAACCAATTGAACTTCTAACCTTGTGGACTCACCCGTTAATTGTCTTGTCATAATTAGCATATCAAGATACAGCTTTCTGAGAAGCTTATTAAATACACTCTGAGTGCATGGGGCTAAGGAGAAATTTTAATTTTCAAAATAAAAGATACTTCTCTACCCAGTGGTCGCGATTTTTGTTGAAAGTTGTATTTGATGTCCTGATTGCAAGCATATTCCAAATTCTCTTGATGGGTCTGCAACACATGGAAGAGGGGGACTACAGAATTGTCTGCACATGTCGCTGGATGAATAATGTTCAGCGTTTAACTAAGCAAGAATTTTGCAAAATGATAATGATTGCTTGGCAAGAGTACAATGTCTTACGTTACTTTAAACTAAATTGCATCATAAACATACAAGAAATCATTCACAGTAACATTTTTAGCGTGCGTGATTATTGCGGATACCACATTGTTCTCCAATTGACAGATCGATTATAAGCTCAGGATTGTCTTTAAAGTGCCTTTGTGAAAATAGCTTCCCTTTCTCCTCCTTTTGTAGATCAGACAAAAAAGCACCCATTGTGTTGTAGGCTTTGACTGAAACAAAGAAATATATCCAAAGTTATCTTAGTGGCGCCAACAACGCACATTCAGAAACATAATACGACAACTGAGACGTGCGTAACCTTTCGCTCTCTAAGTAAGTCATATCAGCTGTGACATCTCAAGTTTTCAAAGGTATAACAATGGAAGACATGAATATAAGCAAAGACAGGTCAATATAAAGTTAATTTGACAGTTCTGTAAAGATTCGTGTAAGCATTTCTCGAATGGTTTTATTTTTAACTGAAATTTGAGTTCACCTAAGGTCAATGATGGAAGTGTTCACTCGTATGCCAGACCACTTTACGACACTCTCAATCTTTATAGCGAGGTGCGAATTTTTCGTTTCGTGTCATGTGAATTAAGGAGGTACTCATCATATGATGGGAAACAAGCGCAGTTGTTTTGCCTAAACGAAAGTGTGTCTACTGCTAATCAGCCAAGTGGCTCATTTGCAAGAATATCGAGAGGAAAGAAAACGAAGAACCTCTGCGATAAAACTATTTTAAAGTGAATATGTAATGTCCTCTAGGCATTATTCTTCGTGGCCAAGTAAGGCCCTCAGTGCATGAATTACCCCAAGGCAACATTCCGTATTCACCGGTTGGGTGTCGCATGGTTCGGCAAATACTCAGTCATTATTGCACAGACAAGCCCAGAACATTATAACCATCAAGGAATTAGGTTTTGCTGTAATACCTTTTAAGATAATAATCTAAAAACGGCGAATCCAACAAAAGTCGAAGATAAATGCAGAGTAAGTCGATCCAGATTTAGAAGGCTACGAACATGTCCCTTAATTTTCTTCGATTCTTTTACAGAACGCAAAGCTTTTTTGGTCAAAAGTTAACCTAAATTAGACTGATAGGGATAAATTGTTCGCAATGTCCGCTATTGCTAATCAGTCAACATCGACAGAACTGAATTTTGTTTGATGATGGTTCGGGTCATGTGCTACAAGGCCAACTCAGTCTAATATCTGCTTTAACTAAAAACATGTATTGGGATCACCTTACATGAGACGTGAAGACATTTAATTAACAGTCAATACCAAGTGTCGCGCGTGCGTGACACTTAGTCTCAGTCGTGCCGTGACGAATGTTCTAGAACTGACGCGAAGCTTGTCGATTCTTCAAGAGTCACGAACAAACGATGGGCTTTAATTACTAAAACTGCAATAGTAAAAGAACGAGAAAACAGAATATTGCCATAAACTCACTGAAGCTGATCAATGCATAGTATAAATACCGTGTGCTCCTTTCAGTCGCTCCCAGTCACTACTTTAACAGTCTCCCTGCCTAGATCAGGGTGCTGGCTCAGAGGTTATATAACAATGGATTGGCGTACATAGGGAAGCCAGGTGAGATTATTCATGAACACTTTCTAGTTTCGTTTTTACGCCAGTTTTGTTCTGTTGGTTTTTATGTGTTGTTTTTTTGTTGTTGTTGTTTTTTTTTTCGGTTTGCCTTTCACCTCCCTCCCTAACAACATTATGGAGCATGACATTTTTGAAGGGATGGAATTCCCTTACAAACCATGATAAGAACCTCCAATCATCAGGGATTTTTTTTTCCTATCCCTTCTCCTTTCGGGCCATCCATATATTCTTTTCTGTCCACCGGCCTTACTGTAAAAAATGTTCAGAATGTTGCGTTATTGGTACAACACCTCACATTTTCTTACATATTTCCTAAGTAATTCTACTTGAATTGTTTTTTACCTAATCTAAGCAACACAACGGTACCTATCAAACTGAGAACAATGGTAAGAAAAATACGAGAAGTAGTAAAAAACATTACTTAAAGTGCTAATTGGTGGCGTTCTAGCACTAGATCTAGTAAATTTTAATGGAACACCAGATGTAGAAGGGGCAGCATTGCATTAAAATGTTTGACGATTGTCTAGTACCAGCTTACAATGTAAAGAGGCTGAAAGGCATAATGACAGTTGAAGGAACTGTGAAAAGTCTTTTACAACAGTTAAGATGTAGTAGCAGCAAAGAGTGTAGAATCATTGACAATTGACGATAAGAGCTTCAGCAAGTGTGGAGGGGGGAGCGATAGTGATAATTAAAGGTGTGGTGACAAGGTAAGGTGTAATGGCAACGGAAGGTATAGCAAAAGTGCAAAACGTAATAACAGTGATCGCTTTAAAGAAGTAGTAACAGTGAATTGATGTTTGAGTAACAGACTCAAAGTTGTAGTAACAGTACACGACGTACTATCCGTTCTTCAAGATGTATGAGGGTGTAATAATAGATGTCGAAGGTGTGCTAGCGGTGGAAAGTGCAGGGACCAGAAACTGTGAATTAGTAGTTGATGTCAGCGCGTGTTCGCAGCTGTACGAAGTTGTTATAGAACAACATTTTGTAACAGTGGAAGGTTTAATAACGGTAGAGGAAGGTCTCAACAAAAGAAAGCTAGTGTTAGTCGAAGGTGTGGCAACGTAGACTTTGTAGTAAAAATTTGAGCGTTAATAGTACAGCTGCGAGATTTATCATCATTGAAATAAACAGGAACAGTTGAAGACGTAAAAAAGAAGGAAGTGGAGAAACAGTTGGAAAAGTATCGAAAGAAGCAAGTGAATTTACCCTAAGTCGTGAATTTACGGTGGAAGGTGTGCTAAATGTGGAAGATGTGATAACATTAGGTGGTTTAAAGTGCCAAAAATTTATTAATAGTTGGAAGATGTTAAAGTAACAGGGAGATGGTCAGTAAGAGTAGGATCTAATTGGTGCGCTGTATTTATAAGGTGAACACCAACAGCAGATTATACAAAAACAACAGAAGATGTTACACTATTATTTTCATTAACTGAGTGTAAAATGGAAAAGTTATAGGGAATGGAAAGAGAAATATAAAAGTTGCAAAAACAGAGGAAGGTGTAGTAAAAGTGGAAGGTGTAATGATTTTAACACCAAGAGGCATTGTAACTCGAAAAATGCACAAAAATTAAAGGAGAAATAACAATAGAAGGGATAGGGGTACTTGAAGTTTGGAAAGAGGAGAAAGTGTGATACCGAAGAAAGGCGTAGACGCAATAAAAATAGAAAAAAAAGCATAACGCGCACAAATACTTGAATACTTGTGAGAAGCGATAGATGGAGTAAATCAGTGTAGAATATTAAGTAACCTATAAGCAAGGTGTAGTGACTGAACAAGGTAAACTAACAGTGGCAGTTATGGTAGTAACAGCCGAACGTGTAGAATCCTTAAGAGAAAGTATTGTCAAAAAGTGTGTGGACAGTTGTATTAAGGTATTAAAGTAGATTTTATGGCAACAGTAGAAGGGAAAGTATGAGTGGAAGTGGAAGTTGAAGAACTAGTAGCAGGAAATGTAGTTATAGATTTGCTATGGTCGCGGAACTTGTAGGGATAGAACAACATGGATTAACAGTACAAAGTGTACATACTCTTCATCTTACGCGCCAATGTAATGAACGAGATAGCGGAAGTGAATGTAGTGTTGCTCAGTAGAAGACATAGTCCAATTTGGAGGTGTATCACCAATTACATATTTAGACGCTGTACTGTGACAATAAAAGATGAACTGGTAAGAGTGGGATTTGAAGAATTTCTACACAATTTTACAGGCAGTAAGAGATTAAATAACAATTGAACGTGTGCTAACAGAGAAAGGAATAGTATCAAGATTGGAATCTGTTGTAAAATAACATCCCAACCTATAATAAGTATTAGCTATGCACTCATGGTTGCATATATTATGGATAATAATTACAACTTTCAATCATCACAGTTGGTGAGACCATTAAACAAAGTAGTCAGGATAATAAACAACGTACATCTTCATAACCATATTACTCCCTATTATTTAAGCCGTGGCCCCATTAAACTGCCTGACTATATTAACTACACATCTGCTAAATATCGCTCGATCACAAAGTGCTGTAGCCTAATTACGCTGGTCCATAGGTCAGAATTAGTATAGGAAGATTTTTTCCCCAAAAACTCATAGATGCTATAACAGAAATGGCTTTCCTATATCAAGAAGAAAAAAGGTAACTTGAATTTATTTAAAGAGATCTGCATCAGGGATATTTTTCTCAGTACTCAACTCTGGCTGGTCGACTATTGTGATAATTTCTTATCCAGCATATTTGTTTTACTTTTAACTCTTTTCTGGTGAATATCGATTAAGATTTCCCATTTTCCCTTTGCATTATTCTCAGAATAGCAGTAATTTCATTCAAAAGCATGTAATTAGTTTTTATCGTCGGTTTCCCTTATACTTCATTCCTTTGCTGTTTTTATTTACACTTTACGTTGACTTATTGTGATGAATAAAAGACAGCAAAATAAATGCAACATGAATTAGAGGTCTTAATAACAGTGAGCTTGGTGTGGCAATATTAACAGGTGTAGCAGAAATGGAAGATGAAATAAATTTAAGTCTTAAGCTTCAATAGAGAGGGAAGTAGCATGAATTGAAACTTTAAGGAACAGAAGAGGCCCTACTAAAAAATGGAAAACAGGTGGGGAAATCATAGAATGTATTTATTAAGAACAGTACAGTGACAAGGTAAAATGTAGAAACATTTCACCTTGTAGCGATCGTGAAAGATATGTTCACAGTTAAAGATGTGGTAAGAATAGATGGTGCAGTAACAGTTCAAGCTATAGTCAGCAGTGGAGCATGTAGCTGATATTAAGCGGTTTGGCTCAGTAGGAAGTAGTAACATAGAAAGGAAGATATTGTTAATAAGAAAGCGGTTGAAAGTAGTTTTGGAACCAGAAGGAGCGGCACAGAAAAAGTAAAATGTGAGCAACAAAAAAAATGCACCAACAGTAGGAGAACTGCAATTATATTTAAAGGTATATTGATGGGTTTAATAGTAAAGGAACATGAGAAAGTGTAATAATATTAAAAGGGTTGACAACAATAGGAGCTGTGGTAAAACTTTAAAATGCAGTATAGTTCCAGTGTAAACATCTAAACCTGTAGGTGTCAAAGCAGTTTAATACATCTAAACTATAAAGGGTAGCGATAGAATAAGGCAGTGTCACATTCAAACGATTAGAAACTAGAGGAGCAGAAAAGAAAAACAAAGAGAGACGATATAAAACGAATGTGAAATGCACTTAAAACCTCTGATAACAGTAGAAGGATTGGTAAGAGTGACAATTGCAGTAAAAAAGGATGGTATTCAAAACAGTTAAATAATCGATAAAAGTAGTAAATGTGAACATATTAGGAAAATCAAAAAAACAATAACTGTTTTTCATAACTATTGAAGATGTCTGTATACTAACATTACATGGTTTAGCAGCATCAAGGAGAGTGATACTAACAGTGAATTCTAATAGAGTAACAGTATACAATTAGAAGTGTACAACCCCTATGTACTGTGAAAGATTCACGGACAATAACACACTCAGCGACTGTACAGTTGCAGTAATAATGAAAGATTCACCCTCCACTGCCATTACCTTCCACTATCTTCTACAACAATTTAATTCCAGTGAGAGAGCTGCACGCCACATGAGTATCAAGGAAATTGCAAACTATATTCTTCCCTATGCTTATGCGTTTCTTCTTGGTGATGTTTATGTGTACTCGTAACAACACACTTTTTTCCATTGTTTTGAATATTGCACCAACTGTTTTATTTCTGTAATTAGCCTGAAGCTGTATAATTGGACAGCCACAGTTAGCACTGGAATGTTAAAGATTAAGATGACACCATTTCAATGCTATATGTTCAGAATCTCTTCAGTTTAACTAACATGTACCAGTCATTTCAAGTTTGTCAGGTTTTTCACTTATGTTGCATGTGATATTAATGTGATAATTGTTGGAATTCAGGTATTTCTTGTGGAAACAATTTTTTAAGTAACTGTCGCTTTTCAGTTTTTTCAGAGGATGCTGAAATTTAATAGTGATCAAGAAGAGCCTCAGTCATTCTTCGAGAACATGAACTCCACTATGCTGGCAAATTGCCTCTCGCGAATCTATCAATATGCCATAACGACCTCTACAAGATTTTTCAACAAGAAAATAGTTTAAAACATTCCATTTCTGGTCTTTTAAATATTTTATGAACTTGTTTGAAGACCCTAACAGAATGGTTCATTCTTGACATTTCCTATGACATCACGCATTTCTGACAGGATGTTCGCCTCGTTAGCTGATTTCCAATCCAATACCATATGCTATCACTAATTTGCCTTATAAGGCAAATTGCCTTAAAAATTGTTTCGTTTGTGACTTTCTGTAGTTTCGGGGTTTTAGAGTTCTCAAGATTTTCTTTTTGAAATATTTTCAATTTCATTGCTATGCAGAACATAATCGGTCTGTTGAATGTAAGTTTCGCGCCAATTATTTATATATATGAAAATCGGTCCATGTTCTATATTTATAAACGGTTGCACATGATACAACATTTGGTAGTCAAATTTCAAAGTCACTCTCTTTGTCCTAAGACAGAAAAATGGTACGTTTCGGGAAAACAGAGGTATCGAAGGTACATTCTAATTATGTGTCTCCCGGTTTTCTGATATATCCAATGTCTCGAGAGTAGTTTTTGGAACGTGAAGTATAGTTTATTTTACGTTACAATTATCATTTTAAGCTCAAGTTTCCAAGAATGTGATTGTTTGCTTTAAAATTTACTTTTTTTGAGGATTAAATTGTACTTTTATTTGTTCCAAACATATAAAGGTTATTTTTATAGCTACATAAACATAAGGTCTACTAGTTTACCTTACACGTAACAGGTGTGTACAGCGAGGGGTTAATGTCCTGTTCCCACACTGGTTGATATCTGTCCAGAGTAGCAAGTGTAATACTTGTCATGTGGCTTGGATTAACCCTCATGTGAGCATCAAGGAAGAAAAAGCCATGAGAGTTGTGGCATAAGGGATATGACGGCTCCTTTTTTTTCCTACATATTGGTATATTCAAATTTCAAGTATATAGCAACAGAAAAAGGGAAGTGTTAGTAGAAGTTTTAGTCAAAGAGGGAGATGTAGTAAGTGTAGAAGGTGTGGTGACAATAGAAGGGATGGTAACCACCTAGCTTAGATTTAATTTTGAACGTAAGAGGTTGGTAAATTTGTATCACTAGCAATACAAGGTGTTGTAAAAGTCAAAGGTGATATGAAATATAGAATACTTTAGAATTGGCAGCAGGAAATGTAGTCATAAATCTTTTATAGTAGTAGCACTCGTAGGGATAGAACAACATGGATTAATGGTACAAGGTAAAGATACTCTTGATCATCTTGTGCGCCAACGTAACGAACGAGATAGCAGAAGTGAAATTAGTGCTGATTAGTAGAAGACATAGTCCTATTTAAAAGAGTATCATCAATTACGAATTTAGGAGCCCTCATGATGATATCATCAAAATAAACGATTGACTGATAAAAGTTGGAATTAAAGAACATTAAACAACTCTACAGGCAGAGATTAAGTAACAATTGATGGTGAGCAAACAGTGAAGAGTGTAGTATCAAGATTGGAATCTGTTATGCTATGCACTCATGGTTATACTCTGGATAATAATTACGACTCTCAATTATCACAGTTGGTGAGACTAATGAAACAAAACTGTTAAGATAATGAACAATGTGCATCTTCGTTGCATATTATGGGTAATAATTACGACTCCCAATTATCACAGTTGGTGAGACTAATAAAACAAAGTTGTTAGGATAATGAACAATGTACATCTTCGTGACCATATTACTCCCTATTACTAAAAATGTGGCCACATTAAACTGCCTGACTTCATTGATTACACGCCAGCTGAACATTGCACGACTTCAATGTGCTGTAACCTAGTTAGGCTGGTCCATGTCCTCAAAACTTGAATCCAGTTTCTTTCAGAATCAGTATAGGAAGATTTTTTCCAAACAACTCATAGATGCTCTGACAGAAATGGCTCTCCTATATTAGGAGGAAAAAGATAACTCTTGAATTTGTTTAAAGGGACCTGTTTCAGTCTTGTCTCAGCACTAAACTTTAGAAAGTCGACTATTTTGATATTTAATGATCTAGTACATTGATTTTACTTTTCACTCTTTCCTGTTGAATTTCGACTAAATTTTGCCTTTTTTCTTAGAGAAGAATTCAATGAATTCAAGGGCATGTAATTAGTTTTAACTATTTATTGCCCCTAGACTTCATTTCTTTGCTGTTTTTAATAACACTGTACGGTGTAACCTTTTATAATGAATGAAAAACAACGAGACGAATGTAACATGAATGGGTTCAGTAACAAAAGTGGACTTAATAACAGTAACGCCTGTAGCAATATAAACAAGTGTACAAAATTGGAAGACGAAATAAAAGTACGGTCTAGAATAAGTTTGCTCAGATCAAAGGATCCCGGCTTGCTTTGTCCCAACTGACTATTCATTTGAGCTGAAAGTGTTTTTGTTGTTGCCAGAAATCACGTTTTAAAAATTGACATTTTGGAATTGAAATCCGCCATCTTTGTTATGACGTAGCTATGACGTAGCAAAAGTCAAACATTGTAGTCTCGACTAAGATGGATGAAAACATAGAAAGCAGCGGCGAGGAGAGCGATAATGACTCAATTCTAGACTCGGATCTTCATCCAGACGGTGTAATTGGTCCATTCATGTTTGAGCCGCAACATAGCTCGCCTTCAGGAGAAGAAGAAATTTCTGTTGACGAAGAAATTCAGGAAGAGATTCAAGGAGAAACATCTACGCGCTCACTTCTTGGAAATCTCGAGTGGTGCTCATGCGGTAACTGTCAAGAGATGCCAGCAGAAAACGAGTGTATGTGCTGTCAAGAAATGAAAGTACTGGGTGATTGACTCGATCTGGAAGGTAGTTAATTCTTCGAAATAACATCTTTGTTTCTTAAGTTTTATTTTTGATTTTTTTACAAAAGAAAAGCGCAGTGCCCGCGACGGATTTATTTCACACTGCTAACTAAGTGATATGAACTATCATTGAAATTGCAGGGAGCAAGCTTCAGTGTATTACTGAGCACAGATCATTTGGACCCGTGTGTTTACTAGCCGATGTCTTAAGAACAGCCCTTGTTGGCATGCACCAAGTGAGGAAAGATAGAGTTGGAGATTATCCGTCACAATATTTATTGTATATAGACCTCTCTAGTTTGTATGCTTTGTTTGTTCATAAAAGTAAATGATGAGTAGATACGGACGTGAACGAGACAAAATTGAAAGAAAGAGTACTGAAGAGAATTATCACATTACTTATTCTAGGAAAATTTCAAAAAAGAAGTCCACTATTCTAAATTTGTTACAAGTAATCAGAGCCTCACGTTATACGACGAGCGTCAAGAAGTCTCCCGTTGTTGAACAGCGTTAGCTTAGGATAAGTTAATATCAGTTTCCCCAATCAGGCACTTGTGGATTGCAATGCAGCGATGAAAAAACCTTCTTGCGGAGAGTGACTTGAGATTTAAACTCCTCAGTGCTTCGGTTGACGAGCTTCAGGGTGGGTGCCCCAGCAGAACTTTAGCAGCTTTATTCTGTAGGATCTGCAATTCTGACATTATGGTGTCCTTGTTCTTGTCCCCCCATATAACATCTCCGTAATCAAAAAGAGGGAGGATTAGGGTGTTGTACAAGGTAACTCTAGTTTGTAGTGGCAATACATTCCTGATTCTCCTGATTAGGCCTATCCTTTGATTAATCTTCGTGCTAATAGCATCGATATGATCTGCCCATGACATAGATTGGTTGAATGTCACGCCTAGGTACTTGAATGATTGTGTTTTCTCAATACAAGTGACCTCTACTTTGACTAAAATATCTTATTGCGATTCAGTTTCTGAGGACTTCCAAAGATAACAAAATTACATTTGGATATATTTAGAGCAAGGAGATTTCTAAAGAACCACTCAGGATGGTAGTAAAAACAGATGAATAAATGGAGAAAGCAGAAAGTGGGAAAAATTAAGGAAAATCGACTGTAGCAACAGTCTGTATTCTAACATCATATGGTTTAGTATCAAGAGCAGTGATACTAATAGTGGATCATGTAAGGGTATAGTACCATTTATGTACTGTGAAAGATTCACTAACACTAACACCTTCAGCGACAGCACAGTTGCAGTACAGTAATAATGAAAGTTCTGCCCCCACTGCCTTTACCTTCAAATCTACAACAACCTTTAAAATGTTAAAATTTATTGAGAGAGCCTTACGCAGCATGTGGATGAGAAGGAATTTACAAAATAAATTAATCAAGTGCACTCGATGAATCTACCGAGCACAGTGGCGACAACAAAATATTTTGAAACTTAGACTATTTCAGCTGGATGTGGAATTCCCTGCCGTGTGTTGATCTGTTAACTATTATGGGCGTCGACTCTCTAGTGAATCTCTATTTTCTATTGAGTGAGTTTGGTGATTATATTAGAGTTTGTCAGGAATAATTGATAGTGTGACTCATTCACCTTCGCATGTAACAAAAGTTGAAAGGTGGGTTTCTGTTTTCTTTTTCAACATTTCAAGCTGTAAGAAATGTTCAGGTGAATGAGACAATCCTGTGGAATTATTCGGAGTTCAAAGTACAAACCTCGTCACTATGATGTATATTATCACAGGCCTAAACCGATACATTCAATGGCAAAGATTAAGATGATACCATTTCAATGTTACATTTGCATAATCTTCTCATGTTTGACCAATCACACACCAGTCCTTTGAAGTTTCCCAGGTTTTTCACTTTTGTTGCATGTATGATTAATGTGACATTTGTTAGAATTCAGGTATTTCTTAAGGAGCCAATTTTAAGTTACTGTCCTATTTCATTTTTTACAGGAAAAGAGGATGCTACAATTTCATTGTAATCCACAGGAGCCTGAGCCATTCTTTGTTAATATGGACTCCACCATCTTGGCAAATCGCCTTTAGCGGAGTTATAAATATGCCATAATGACCTCTGCAAGATTTCCAACAATAACAACATATTAAAACATTTCATTTCTGATCTTTGAAATATGTTATTGACTTGTTTGAAGACCCCAATAGAATGGTTCTTTCTTCGCATTGCCCATGACATCACGCATTTCTGACTAGGATGTTCGGCTCGTTAGCCGGTTTCCAAACCAATCCGTTTTACTATCCATGTTAATGATTAGGAGAATTGTCTAAAAACTCCTTTGTATTTTTAGGAATGTGTTTTGCTTTCATTGGTATGCAGAACATAAGTGGTCTCCTGAGTGTAACTTTTGCACTAATTATTTTTATTTGTGACTCGAGACAAGCTTGAAAATTGGTCACGTTCTATATTTATAAACGGTGCTACATGATACGACTTTTGGCAGTCAAATTTCATAGTCAGTCTCTTTGTCCTAAGACAGAAAAAAATACATTTTGCTATCTAATTTAGTTTTTGAAACTCGAAGTATAGTTCATTTTACGTCATAATAATCATTTCAAGTTTAAGTTTCCAAGAATGTGACTGTCTACTTTGACAGTAACTGTTTTTAGGGAGAACCGTTTTGGTTTTATAACTACATATATAAGGTCAGCTGGTTTACCAGACATTCAACAGGCGTATATAATGAGAAGTTAAGGTCATTTTCTTCCACTGGTTAGTAGCTGTCTAGCGCAGCATGTGTAGGGCTTCTCATGTAGCTTTGATTAATCTCCATGTTGGCATCAAGGAAGGAAAAGCCATGAGATTTGTGGCATAAGGGATATGACAGCTCCTTAGTTTTGCCTCTTCATGTAGGCATATTTAGAGTACTACTACTGAATATGAAAGCGATCTTCGCAGTAATGAAGCCGCAGTTCACAAATACGATTTTTATATATTCACAGTCATTTCTTCATCACTTCACGGGTTTATTTGGAACCAACATAATGATCAGCTCCCAGTTGGCTTGTTAGCTCAGTTGCTAAAGCACAGCACAGTATCGCAAAGGTCACGGGTTTAAATCCCGTACAGGCTTAAATTTTTTTCAGGTCTTATTTTCACAACTGCTCAAGTTGTGTTCATTACTGCGAAGATCGCTTTCATATTCACCTCTTTATCTGCAGTTCACATATATGATTTTCATATAGTCACAGTCATTTAGTACAAGTACTGTAGATATTCATTTAGAGCCTGAGTTCTTTTTGACAGCAGCAGTTGAGTCAAACTCCGTTTTACTGTCACGCAGAATACTTTCTTCGTTTATGTGGTGTTTGTGACCCTAAACGTAACATGACTTTCAACTTCTCCTGCTGGTACCATTATTTCGGATGGTATACAACCAGGTGGAAGAGGTATACTTACGTAACTTCCAAGAGGTTTTGTCGAGTGGCTAAATCGATTTCGGTCAAAGATGCGTGTTATGACGATGCCTTTGTCACCGTCCTGATACTTTACATTTTGAAAAGGGACGACTCGGCTTTTGAAACTTGATCTGCTCTCCCGAAACTTTTGCTTGGAGGATTGGAACAATCCAGTTTTGCCGCATTCACTGCTGTCTGCGGCAAAAGTGTCTTGAGTTTTGTACTTTTCTTCATCAAGGAGTGGTGGAGAGACGGCATGGTGTTCTGTCGCGGTAGCAAATGATGCAATTTCGTCTGGATGTGTTCTTTTTGAGGAGTCAGACATTTTTTTTTAGGAATATAGGAAAATTTCTGACGTTAAGCCTTTTAATGAGCGTGTTATTGTTGTGTTGTTTTTCTGAGTAACCTGTGGATATTGGTTGATCTTGATCCTACGTGTTGTGTAAAGAAGCCCATGAAATGTTCAGGATTTTTCTAGTTTATCATTGAATGAAATATTTTATTCTCTTGCTCTTTCCCAAATTAGTTCCCTACAAACCCTTCACTCACCGAGTTCAGGCGGCTGTTTACAAATAATAGAGAACACTCGTACTCGCCCAAGTCTATTCAGTTTAGCACTCTGCCACCAAATTCACCGCAGAAGTCAGAAAATACGGGCTCCCGAAAAAAAACGGCTACCTGAAAGTACGAAACCTCAATTTGCTGGCCTTTCTTTTATTCGCCGTTCATGACGCTATATACTAACTACATCTGAGGCATCAGAGCCAGCGCTACATCCATGCATTGGAACCCGACATCAAAATGCTATTTTAAAACGTACGAAAAATTCAACGTGAGTGGTTCGACTAATTTTTTGCTGAAACTTTAAGCTGAAAATGCTTAAAAATCAGCTTGTAAGAGAGAAAAATAAATTTACATTTCTTATTTCTTCATTCACTGTATTCTCTAGACACTAAACGTAAATTTAGCCGGCAAACCATAAGCACGAACGGATCTTGTTGAGCCGCGAGTTGTGTCATTTTGAAGGGAATTTTTAAGTTCGAGGATGACTTTACCTTGCGATCTCTTTTTCTTTTCTCGCGGCAAACGCAGTCATATGCAGTATCGGAGAACAACAGAAGGTCAGCGTGTTATATCCTTTTAAAATAGAAATACTCTATTCCACAAGCAATGCTGAAAAGCGCGCATAAACTGCCTTCGACTCTCTCCGCTAGCTTACATTACCTTACGGCTTTGATTGAGGAAAAAAAAGAAGCTATTACACAGTTTATTGAAATGCAATTCTTGGGAGAGTCCAAGTCCTCGGAAGTGTTTATGTAACGATTCAATCGTTCCACTAACATCGTCTTAGGGTTAGAAATCAGAGATCAACGAATCGGTTGTAAGAATTAAAAGCCAATGTTTATTCAAGCTGCATGTTCAAGGACGAAATCAAGTCAAAGGAATGAAAAGCTCCGCTTTTAATAACAACCGGAGCATTAATCATCATTTCAAGTGTGTATTGCGATGTAGATTATGTGGGCTCCTCGAGTTGACATGGAGAACCACTAGCAATCGAAGATCACAAACACGCGAGGGGAGCTCGTGAGGAGCCTGTTGGTGTTCGAGAATTTCCGAATATTCAAGAATAAGAGACATCCAACGTTGAGATAAAACATTTTCATTACAGTTCAAAGAACTTTTTGTCACATGAGGAGGTGGTTTTCTGTATTCGCCAATATTTAAACTGTTTTTTTTTTCTTACGATTTCCTAAATACGTTTGATGTTAACACGCTGTTGATTTATTTAGACCTCTTGCCAACTGGAAGGCCAACTAATTGCAGACCAATTAATCCACCGAACTTAGCACACTGCACAATCTTATGGAGCTTTGCTGTCAGCATAATGTGATTCACGAGCAATTTGCTAAATTTG